GGAGTGTGTATAAAGGATTTACCGGTCATTGGGGACGTAGAGGTGAAAGTGGCGGACATGAGATGCATCTTTAGACAGAATAATGTTGCCAGCGAACTGTCCCGGGGTGAACCAGAAGGGAAAGTCTGGAACATCGTTGAGCTGGAATTCTGCATGAATCCTGAAGAGGTGAACAGAATGAATAGTTTGTACTGCAAGATGTGTCCAAAATGTATCTTACTGTCATTATGTGACACGAAAGGCTTGTTGTAGCCCTTTTTTTTTTTTTTTTTTAAAGTGCGTTTCTAGCCTCTGTAACACGAATTGTGTATACTTAACATTACTGCTGACCACTGATGGATTCCAAACCTCCCAGACAGCCAGAGGCTTTATTTCACTACGGGAGACTTAAAGCTTTGAGCTTTGAGCTTTTCATCACAGTTTTATAAATAAATAGCTTTATACTTTAAGTTAAGTTACATTAGTGTCACATGGCAATGCACTTGTGAGTGAAGACTGTATGAAGACTGCTGCTAGAAAGTACTGCAAGATATCAGAACAAGATGGCTGAAGTTGCAAATAAACTCCCGCACACCCTCTAACTAGCGATGATACATTTCTTTGCAATGTTTTCGTGCTAAACCTTCATCAGGAAAATGGTTTCTGACAATGAGAAGCCATCATAAATAGGGATTGACTGTAAGTCTGCAATCAATCATTCCCCACGTGCAGCAGGAAGGCAGAAATAAACTACACATCAATTTACTGTGTGACAGCCTCTAAATCATGTGAAATGTGTGAAAGGAAAAAAATATGAAATGCCAAGAATGTGTTTGAATGTTGCTTTTCACCATGATAATGTAAGAAAACAGTAAAGTGGATTCACTGGATCAGTCTCTCTCTGCATGCTGATTGTAAACTGAAACAAATGGCTTCCTGCCAGCGAGGACATTACCATTCAAATTCAGAGTATGTTCTGGATATTAGTCAGCACTAATGTAAAAGTATACAGAATTACGTAGTTAATGAGCTAATAGAAGAAAAAGCACCACTACGGTTATTTATGTCTCCTCCTGAACTGATCCTCACCTGAAGACGATGTCATAATAAAAGTCGTTGCTGGCACGGATGCAGGCGACTGTGCCCTGAGGAGCGAAACGTGATTTGATGAAGGGACGAGGGTGGAACATACTCAACAAGGAGTGGATGAGAACCTGCAGCGGGAGAAGAACAGCTATTAATATACAGTACGATCATCGCAAGTCTCAACCCAATCTAACACTAAATGAGATTTAAGATACCTCTTTGCCCTTTGGTGAGGGAGGGTGGTAGCGGTTGTTGGGCAGGTAACCGGTGAAGATGTTGAGCTCGCTGGGTATCACCCACCACGTGTCTCCCACCTCGACCTTGTTCTTCGGGGGCAAGAACGCCCTGAACTGGCTGGCGGAGAAGGAAGAAGAAGGCACTGCTGGGCTCTTCCATGAGCGTAGCCCGCTCAGAGAGCTGTGAGACACCTGCAAGAGCCGGATCAAATCCACTTATTGTAAGTCAGGTCTTGAAAAACTAGAAGTTGTGCTCCTTCAAAAGAAAATAAGAGGAAATTCTTCAAAACATTTTTTACAATTTAACCAGTCAAAGATGATTACAAGTTAATTCTCTGGTAGTTCATTGTTGACTCAGTTCTTGGTTAGGGTTCGCTTTGCAAATGTTGAAAGAGAGCTGACTTAATACTAATTGCATTAATTTCAATAATTTTAAATATGTTGCTGTGATAGCTATTTTAAAAAAGGTTAGTGCAACCTCTCAGAAATCCCACTGAATGTGAGACTATATTAAAAACCCTTGATGCAGGATCTTTAAAGCAGTGCTCTACAGAGCTTAAACAGTACTTGACAGAAAGAGAACAATAAGCCTACTATAGATTGCTTTTGTCTTACCCCGAGGAAACCGTCCTTGCTTTTTGTCATGGAGTCAAGCAGCAGAGGCTGCATTTTAGCCTCCAGGGTTAAAGTCTCTCCATTGGGGTCATGGGTCACTTCCTCCTCAAAATCCACCGGGGGTGTAATTCCTGTGAGGAGGCCGCAGGGATCACAGTCAGTGTGAGGTTATATCTGAGACTCAGACTGAGGTTTTGTTAGTGAGAGAGGAGGCGGTATTGATTGAATGGGACACTCAGCAAGAAAGACCTGGGGTGATGTACCTGTGAGTTTCTCTGCGATGGGTTTAAACTCCTCCGGACTGAGATAAAGGTCATGGTCGGTGTCCAAGGAGGAGAAGAGAAAAAGCCCCTCTGCACCCAGAGTTCGAACGCTCTCTTCCTATTGGAGGGGCAACAGCGTTAGTGTCATTCTCACACGCTTCAAGGATTTTCAATGCAGCATCAAAACTAGGACAGCGAAGGCATCTCATCACATCAAACACAACATAATCAAACTGGGGTGCTAAAAACACTGTTGTAGACACACAATCTGATGTAAATTCAAGCTGCTTTAGTGGTTTGCCCCTTTGTGTCAGAGCATTCATTCAACTTCAGCAGTCCTGTCTGGATAAAAATCAACCCAGAGGCCACAGATTCCTAGCATGTGTTTCAGTCAGACAGATGCGTGCCTAGTAGCGCCTGTACAATGGAGGGAGAGGGGGAGGGAGGCACCAAGAACAACTTGGAGACCCTCTTTAGCCAAACAAGCATGGATTAAAACAAGAGGGGGGAGTTTTACCAGCTGTGGCACAGATCCACCCTCTAATAAAACACCATGGGGTGGGAAAAAAAACTGCAGATGTGGTGTTTTGAGGCTACTGGCATATGCTCAACGCACCTTTGTGGGAGAGCAGCATTGAAATATAACAAGAAAATGTCCCTGCAGTAATTACAGGTCATAACAGCTACCAGAAGGTCAATGCAAACTTTATTTTACACACCTTACAGTAAAATGGCATTTTAGTATGATATGAGCCCAATACATGTTTATTCCCTTAAATTGTATTTAAGATTAAAAAAAAAAAAAAAAAAAAACACAATAAGTTAAGATCACTGCTAATTTATGAGACATATATAACATTATTAAAGATGTGGGTCTCACATGACGTTTGAGGAACTGGGCATCTTGGTAATACTTGATCCCAAAGGCGAGAAGAGGGACGGCACCGACTAGAAGCAGAGTCCACAGCCCTTTGGAGATCCAGGATCCAGAGACGGGACCCCGATGCGCGTTCTGCGGCGAAATTTTGCTCCCATCCTCGGGGGTTGTTTTATCCACGTCTGCAGCCATCCTCGACCCTTCACGACAGCTATTCCGGCGAGGACATTGTCGTCGGGTAACGTCCAAAAAGGGGGCTACGAGCAGTGTAAAACTTTCTTCCTTAAAGTGTCTGGATTCTTCCGACAGTTCGGTTGTCTCGTAAGCCGGGGACCGCGCGTCTTTTCCGGCCGTTGCACTCGCTGGCAGCCGCTGTGAGACGTTAGCTAGCCGCACAGATTTCTTATTTCCCACATCTAATCTAGATCCATATGGATGCGGTTCAGATGCGTCAGGCGAGCGAGCGACAGCCAGGAGTAACACGGATGTAAGGCGTTTGTGGACTCAAAATAAAAGCACCAGTATGTCGACGTCTATCGTTCGCTAGCTCCATTTGTGAACTAACGTTACTCCCTGTAATAGTTGTATCTGCAGAAATGTCAAGGGGAAACGTCGACGTTGTTTCTTACCTTGGTTGCATCTGTAAATGTTATTTTTATGCCGTTACAGGTGTCTACTTTCTTCGCGGAGTGATACAATTGTTTGTCCGGATGTGAAACCAACGGTTAAATTCCCATTTTCCACACACTGTGCCCCTCCGCTCAGCTTTATGAAAATACTAATAATAATAATAATAATAGAGCCGGGTACACTCTTTATCTTCCCAGAGTTATAACAGACACGTGTGGGGGTCGCGAAAATACCTTTTAAGACACAACCCACAAGATAGTTCCCTTTTACTCAGGGAATGCTTTTTACTAGCTAGTGCGACCTTGTGAGCTTTATTTTGAAAGCGGTGACCGGAAGTGTGTTTACATTCTCTCTACCTTGGCGTTAGCTGGCTGTTGGCACAGCAGCCACATTTAAAGGAGCAGAGTTGCCTTGTTCATCCCAGGAATGTAACCAACAAGCTTCAATTATATGCTTTCTCTGCCAGGGAAGTGTGTCATTACATTGTTTTTGTAACTTCATGTCTGCCAGTAGTAGTGAAGGGTTTGGACAACACTTTGGGATTTTAACATGCCTGTGTTATAATATATTATAATAATAACTTCACGTTATGAATAGTTTTTAAAAGGTTTTTTTTTTTATTCTGCATGTAGAGCGAATATGGACAGAAACAAAGGGGCTGATTCAGACCGGGACACAGTCTGGTATGTGTGTCAGGTCATTATTGTGCCAGAGAAATCACTCAGTCTCCATAAATTTGATGTTGCCTACACCGGGACATGGACCCAAGGCCTCCAACTAAAGCACAGTCTCTCTCTAACTCTTTGATTTATTATTTAACTCCTTAAATCCAAGCCAAATCTCCTTTCAGGTTATGACCATAGTTTATGGACAGGAGTTGTGTGCAGTTAAATGTGTTTCTTCAAAGATTTTTTTTAGAGGCCAGATGTAAAATATTAGTCCCGTTTACAAATCTGGCAATCACCGTCGCTGACGTCATTACCTCAGTTTAAATAAATAATGAAGTGAAAAGGAAACGACAATTAAGTCTAATCATCAGTATACAGTATTTCACAACACTGAGGAAGAATGAGGGGGAAAAAGCATGTAACAGAATTTTTCATTACTTTAAACATCTGGTCCCAAAGTTTATCTTGGGACTCTTTATGGGGTCCTAATCCTCAAGTTGGGAAACACTGTTTAAGACATTTTAAGGTTGTATCTTCATGGCTGAATGTACTTATTTTAAGTCACTCTGGATTAAAAAGGTCCACTAAATAAATAGAATGTAATCCTTTAACCACGCTCTGTAGTCCCATATGAATGCAATCTGGCTTAATCCACTCCATGTTATAGTTTATTCGCACAGTTCCACACATACTCAATATTAAGTACATGTTGCATTACATTACCCCGTACAAGGTAAGGCTTTCCTGAATCCGGTGATAGCCAGACGTCTAAAAGTCAGGCTGGAAGCGTGTCACAAAAAAAAGCATTTTAACAACGCACTCAACATCTGTGACCGCAAGAGATAATAGAAGCATCATCCGTGTTGTTAACGCTTCTGATATTGAGTTCATCAGTCCATGGGTTTAAAAGTGGGCCGCTCTCAGTTCATGTCCTCTTCCACAGGCTGCGTCTTCACTTCAACTATTTTTGGAGGGATGTAGGAGCCCATACCTGCTGCTCTCTCCGCCTCTGCCTGGGTGTAGGGCTCCTCTCTGAGCTGTTTCAACCTGGATGGAGGAAGAAGAAGGAAGAAGAAGGAGAAGAGCTGAGTGAAACTAGCAGGAAGATGCGTTATAGAGGACAAATAGCTCATCTGAATGTTCATTTCCAGCCAAGAAATGCACGTTTATGTGATTCAATATGTGAACTGAATATGCTGCCTTACCGTCTTTTGTGCACTTTAGTTTTGAAGTGCTCTTTCAGTGATCTCATGTCCACGAAATATCTTCTGCAAGACAGTAAGTGTTACACTCTAACTGCAATATAGCATTTTATTATCATTATTATTATTATTATTATTATTATTATTATTATTTAACCAGGTGATTTCAGTATAACACACAAGAACAGAGATAAGACAAAACACACCCAGTCACACAAAATCATTATTAGTTAATGCAATTGTTGGATTTGCAAATATCCAATGGAAAGCTTAATTTTCGGTTAGGAAGCAGCCATATTTGTTAATGCGGTCCATTGACATTAAACAGGGGTAAACGTACGCGCAGTGTAAGCAGTAGTGTTGTGCGCATCCTGTCACATCGTAGTCCACCTCCTGATGGAGCAGCTTGGAAGCGGTTTCAGGCTTCATGTCTGAGTGGATCTGGTCCAGGTCTTTGGTCCTGCGCTTTGTCTTCCATGTCTTTGCAATGTGCTTCTTCTTGTCACTCTTGTGGTTCCCTACTTGTTTGGACTTCCCCATGGTGGATCCTGCGGGACTGGATGCAAAGAGACCGGTTAGACTGCTAGGATCGACACAGATAGTTGGTGAAGTCGTCGGTAGAGGAATATTAGGAGAAAACTAAAGCTACGGGTTAATCAGTATACAACAATCTGGCGACACGCATCGGTAAAAGCTGCTGAATACTTTCTTACTTGACTGTCGAGTTAAGTAGAAACAGACAATCCAGCCAAAGTAGACGTTTTTAAACCGGTTTGATATTTTTTTTCTAAATCAGTTTTGGTGGAATAACACTTGTGCCCAAATTAAATAACCAGCTCAAGACAAACAGTAGCACACAGCAGATATGTTTTAGAAACTCGTCAATACCAGTTTTAGCTTTGCTTACCTTTTACACGTGTGGCCAAAAGGGATGACTTTTACGTCCGGGTCAACAAACGTTACAGTTACAGCTGCTCACCTACAGGGGGCGCCAAAATATCACTATTTACCACTCAATAATGTCACGCTATAACAATGGTAATATGACTAGTAAACGGCATTGATAATGAAAATAAACGCAAAACACAACAAGTAACGTTTGCCTAAGCATACAGTTTTTATGCTTCTCTGCTGAGCCAAACACTAATTTATATATTTAATAAGTACATGTAACAAAAGAAAGAAAAGCATGTGACAATAAAATACTGGAGGCTAAATGTATTAATTATCATGACAATTAATGATAATTTATTAATTATCTACAAATACACCAACAAACTTAACCTCACATTTCTACAAGCCAGCCTCTTTCCTTCTTCTTTTTCTTCTTGTTCTTTTTTTTCGCCTCACTTCTACTTTCAGACCAATATTACATGCAGCCACCTACTGTGTGTAACATCATTACAGGAACCTGGTTTAGTTAATCTCTCATCTCCAACAGACCCCCTCTCCTCTCTATTACCTCCCCACATCCACCACCCTGTCCTGCAGTCTTTTACTTTCCACACTAAACCTTCTACAAACCATCAGTCTCTTTATAATTACACACTTCACATTTGTTGTTTCTTTTTTCATAATGTGGCGTTTAATCCTGTTTATACTAATCTCAACCTTGATATAATTATAATTTCTTTCCTACTTTTACTTTTTCTAATTCAAACTGTCAGACTTTTGGATTTTATAATAGTCTCTACCCTTGATGTCATTATTCCATATTTCCTACCAAGTTATCACTATTACCTGATGAATTAATGATTTTGCCTCTGACTTTCCAAAACATATTTATAAAATATCAATATATATTATTACTGTTGTAGCCAGTTTGTCTGCATCCTCATGTCCTTCTATTTCAACATGTATCCAACAGAACTGAACATCTATACAGAGCTGCAGAAGGTTTAATAAAATCATATATATTTCTAATAGCAGATAATCCCTGACTGAATACTTAAGACATTACATATGAATACTTTGCTTTGACCTCCTCCACCCACTGCAGATTGATGGTTGCTCTGCATACTAATGAACTCAATTTCCACACCTACATGATCATTAATTGCGTGTTTAGACCCGTGTGTAAATATATTTAGATAGCTATAATACATTAAACCAAATATTCTTTAGCCAAATTCCCAATGTTAAAAAAATCCCAGGCTGACCACTCTCTTTCCTAATACGGTAAATTAATTTTGGATTGGGGAAATACTCATGGTCAAATAGTACAACTGATAACTCCTGGACTGTGCTGTATAGTTTGTACTCCTTTACTTTCTTGTGGGGAGGGGGGGAACATTCTGGGAAAAAATACATACCCCTATTTGTTTCCCAGTTCCAGCCCCTTTCCTGTTCTGTATCTGACACATTTAAATATTCCGACAGCACTTGAAGGCGGCGTCAGACTGCACTGCATACGCGCCGTGGCGGAGAGCGAAGATGGCGGAGAATAATGTCGAACCAGAGCACGAATGGAGCGACCGGGCCCTGGACACGGCCGAGGACACTCTGGTGGCAATGGAAACCCTGCTGGCCACACTGAGAGCCTTTGAAGACGTGCTCAGGCAACAAGAGATATCCATATCATCCTCCACGGAGTACTGCGACAACTTCTGTCAGGTAATGTGTACATGCAACATCGAAGCTACCGTTAGCCTACCGTTAGCTCACCCGGGATTGTTTTTCTCGCAGCCCCGCAAGCTAGCTAATCTGCGACGGCTTGGTTGGCCCGCTAGCTACCTGGTTCAAGTTTAGGGTCGGTGTGTATTCAGGGGAGCGTTTGCACAGCGTGTATTTTTTATTTATTTTTTGTTGTTGCTCACATTCACATATGCACATAATCTCATGCCAAAACACTGCAAGTTACTACCATTTAGGCTAATTGTAAATGTACATTGGCAGATGTGTTGAAGTTGTCACTGTAAGCTCGCCTTTACTGTCATTGATAAAAGTCGTTTGCGCTTGCTGCGTCTTATTTTGAGTCATAATGGCAAAACAGGAAACCTAGCAAATGTTTGCATGCACATGACATTGCCATAGTTTGCACATCATGCATAATTGCATGTGTGTGGGGCGGGGCGGGATCGCGGTATGTTTATCCAAATTTATTTTCTATTTGGGGCGTATAGCGACTGTAAAATGGTCCTTTTTAAAGAAGTTTCGCCTATGTTGTATATATATATATATATATTTTAAATCTTTTGTTGTAGAAACCCGTGCAGCCAAGCACTTTAGGTCGTATGTTCAAATGGACCGGCAATGTTATGTACATCTGCCATGTTGTACTTATCATCAACAATGGAGATGCACTCTTACTGGATTACCCTAATTCCCAATATCATATAGTCTGGAGCACAATTTAAAAATAAATATGAGAACTTGTACTAGAGAAGCAAATTTGGGGAACTACCATGATCTCCACCTTCTGTAGTATCAGATTTATAACCAGTTGTCACTTTCATTTTCAATGCTTAGTACAGATAGGAGTCCAGGTGTATAATATTATGGAGTCCAGGTGTATGATATTATGGAGTCCAGGTGTATAATATTATGCTATTACACTGCCATGTCTAATGATTACTGATATCTTTTATATCTTGAGGCTAAAATCAATAAAAATATTATAATAAAAAAAGAGAGAGAGAGATAAATCTCCAAACTTGATTAGCAGCCAAAGTTTATAGTAGAGAAGAGTAATTCATTAGCCAGCTCACTCTGTGTTTGGATGGCGGCTGCTGTTAAAGGATACGTTGTTTTTTAAAACTTTGTCTTCACGTAATACTCACATGCCCACTTGTACGTTTAGAGTTTAGAGCGTTATTGATGTCTGTAATTGTTCCCCTTTCCACACTAATCCAAAATTAGTCTTTTGTGGCTTGTAATTTCCTGACTTAAAAAAATAATAGTTTATTTAATTTTTTTTGTTTGCTTTTGGATTGATATTAAAAGAAAGTTTTGTGTTGTATTTATTTTCTGTTCAATTCGGAAGTAGTCTGGATGTAATTAGTGCACTGATATGAGTCTCCAGGGTTGAGACCTTATTCTTGTCTTCCTTTGAGAGGGTACCGTATATTTAGACTGAGGGGAATTAATTCGGTGCCTCTGTGGACACGAGTACCAACCAGCACGGTTCATGCATGTCTGGCAAATGGGACTCCTGGGATGTTGATAGTGATCATGATTTAATGTGTGAGGCTACATGCAGGCGTCACACTGGCATATACACATTCGTCTTGACTCCTCTGTGCCTGGGGACAGTTGACAGAAAAGATAATATTTACCACAAACAACACTGATATAGAATGGATAAGTGACAGGACTGATTTTTTTTTCTCCTGTCATCAGTAGCATTTTTTTTTCAATTTCATGTTGGTATAATTCAGATACATTCTATTTTATGTTTGACATTTCGTTGAATGAAGAAAGGGAATTAAGCTTGCATTCATTTAAAAATCCCATTTCTGTGAACGCGTCATCTTAGTAGAAAAGTAGAAGTAGGGAAAAGTGAAAAGACTGATTTTTGACTGATGTTTTTTTAAGTGCCTGTTGGCTCACTTTTGAAGGTTCAGGGTTGTCATATGCTGTACAGTCAAGTCCCTTCAGACCCAATCAGGAGCATCTCACACCTGACAGAGTGTCAGCTGGGATCAATCAGGTATAGACTGGTATCTCCCTCAGGTGGAAAACCCCTGTTCACCCAGGTGAATGTCTCTCCTCTGATGCCCCCTCCCCCCCTTCTGACCACTGTTTTAAGTATCAACAATCTCCTTCCATCACTGTTTTCTTTTATTGTTTACCTCTTGCTATGTTTTGTGTGTTTCTAGGCACTGATGCACTATGCTGGGAGCAGGAACTCCATGGAGCATGGTCTGCCCCTTTTGGAGGTCTACTGTCTGTCCATAAGCTGTTTTGCTGCGGCCCGATCCCACCTCACTGCAGACTCCGACAGAGTGGCCCTTGTTTTGAAGAGACTAGCTTTGTAAGTACTAAGTTCGGACTTGTTGTGCTGCGCACACTTGGCAGTTTGGTTTGTGGAGTCCATTTGTTGGTCACTATATGGATTTAAGGTGAAAAGGTCAGCCTCTTTAATTATTTATGAAGTCCTTAATTGCCTGACAACACAAGCCTACAATTTCTAGTTTGCTTAATGTAGTTTGCTTAGAACATTTACTTCTACTTACTTACTGCACTGTAGATGAGAGACCGTTCTGTTCTTCACTCAGACACCAATATTCAAATTTCCGGTTTGAAATGTCAAAGGTTTAACTCTCCACCAAATTCAGTTCAATTCTAAATAAATTTTAGGGGAAATTACACTTTGTAAAATCATTCCTTGTGTTTATTGTGGTGGAAATGGTTTTGAGAGTCAACAGATGATGAGCGACATTGTCCTATAAACCCCCACCTGTAATTTGCTGGTACTTTGGTCAACAAGTATCAGATTTGTTCACTTGCTTCAGTGTGGACGTTAATCCCACAAAGGTATCGTATTGCATTTCACATTAAAAGTTTTTTTTCTGTGTCTGACAGACCTGGTGGCAGGCATTAGGAATGACCATTTAGACCACTTCTTGCTGATGGTCTTGTTTGTTTATGTAGGTTGACTGTTTCATAATAACCAGTTTAAAAACTCCATTCAACATAAAACTACTTTTAACGATAAATAGAAAATCTTGGATTACGACTTCTTTAATTAATTAATAGTCAAGAACACTTTAAGGCATTTGTTTGCTAAAATAGAAAGTCCAAGTAAAATAGTCTCTGTTTCATTTCTCTTGCAAAATAAGTCATATTATAAATTAGTCATATTATAAATAGATAATAACACAACTGTGGCTTAACTTTGGGGTATGTAGTGACCCAGCAAGTAAAACCTAAATGCAAATGCTGGTTTCATCAAGACAAGTGTTTGATTTTCTGTCCTCTTTTTCCCTTGTGCATACACCCATGTCATATATGACATTGATATTTTACAGGTCATGGGAAAAAAATCCTTAAATGTTTTTTATCTGCAGTAACAAATCCAGCCCAACTAACTATGTTATGAATGAACCCACACAAAGGACACAAGCACACACTGACTGACAGTGATTGGCTGTTACTTTGGATTAGATGTGATTCTTGTTGTACTTTAGGATGCATTAAAGGGTTCATGCTGAAAATGACAGCCTGTCTCAAGGAATTAAGTGAACGTTTACTGACACGACTTAAATTAGGTCGGTTAGAGATTCATAATGTCTTGTGATTAATTGCCAAGCCCACACACCAAGGCTCAAATCCCATTCCTTCCATCGGCAGATGTTCTTACATGAAGGACGGGGTTTGTTTCAGCATTTTTTAGCTGAATAAAAAGGATCTTTTAATAGTTACCTTGTAATAGTTAAATTTAACTTCTGGCAGATGTGAAAAGTACAGCCTCAAAAACATGTCACCATTGTTCATTGTATTTTCAACTGAGCCTTTTTGATATGTTTAATGTATGAATATGTAAAGCGGACTCTTCTTAAACATTAGTACAGAGCTACAGAATACTTTGTTCTGCCGTCAGAAATGTAGGTAGTTTCACAGACTGTAAAAATATTGTGTGTGGTTGAGATTAATGTGTCCAGATGCCATACTTGCAGTGCTTGTGTTTTGTAGTTTTTCCCTTTTTTTTTTTTTTTGTCAAGAATAGAACTGTCAAGAATTATCATAATTTACAGAAATCATTGTAATCTTGTTTTTCGTTGTTGCAGGAGCTGTTTTGAACTGTTGCTGTCAGTGCCTGAGAATGAAATCCCGTATGAAGCCTGGGTTCAATTCCACCACTCAGTTCAGGTAGAAAATCTTGTTTCTCAACATTATTTGCTAATGGCTTGCAGAGAAAAATGGGGATCACTCAAGTCAACATTTACTTCAGTAAAAAAATGCCATTCTGTTGCATGTGTGTGAGAAAGAATTTAGGAGCTTAATTATTTGTGCCTCAGTGGGTCTTATCAAAAGCCCTCTGATAGGAGCATAGTACAGCATGAGAACAAATGCCCCAAGCTGGTGTAGGTGGCACTGTTTAATTTGTGTTTGCCCCTTGTTGAGTGTACAACCACCGTTGTTAATAACTTCTTATTCATCACTGGTTGTCAGTTGTGTGCCTCACAATGACACAAATATGTGAATATATGCTTCTAATAGTGTTTATCTCAAAGGATTTAAGGATCCAGGATTTGCAAAGTGGTCTTTAAATTCTATTCATCCATCCAACAATTTTGTTTTCAGCTATTGTACTTCAAGTCTCTAGGGTTTTCACTACACTGTGTAACCCAGGTTCAATATGTCCAAGCTGAACAAACTGATTTACCATGAAGAGTCTTGGGAACTCATTACCACACTGACATACACTCTAATATAGGTTTAAAAATGCACTATAATTCTCTTTGCTGTCAGATTGTTCCCTGCTAAGTCACTGTACAAAATAAAGCACAGTGTGTTATAATTGCTTGTATTCTTCAAATGAATTACACAGTTGAATTTAATTTAAAAAAAGAATAGTATATAGTAATAATATATTTTTGTCAGCAGAGATGCTTTGACAACAAAAGAGGAATTCTTAAAGCTTATATCCAGATATGAACCGTGGTGTTCAAAAAAACTATTATTTTTACTTTGTTTATAGTATTAAATTGAGCCAATAAATAAAAGTCAGTGATGTAGTAATGTGAACAAATGGCCTTTCATCTGTGAAACTCATAATCCCATTATCACATGACAGCAGTGGAAGAGCGCCACTGCAGCTTCTGTGTAGGAAAAAATATGGCTTAATTTATTTTATTTTTAATCTAGTTTTCAACAAAGTGCCCAAACATTTTTTTATTGTATTTAGTTTTAACATTTTTTATGTGTTTATTGCAGATTGCCCATGATACCTTGTTACAGTATGGCAGCACAGACCTTCAAGCATTACTCCAGATCACAGGAGAGGGAGGCGCATGGAGCAACCCCGTCCTTACTTCTCTCCTCACCGGCCAGCCCACCAACACAGAAGAAGGTTGGACTCTAGTCAACCTATCAAGTTATTTCATTTGGACCTGACAGCACAGACCTTTTCTTTTAGTGCTTTTTGTCACATTGTTTCTGCAGTATGCTTACCTGATTTTCTTTGCATTCTGTTGCTAGTTGACGCATACATCAGCTTGGAGGGCGAGGGCTTCATGGAAATGCGGGTGAAGCACCTGGAGAAGATGGGCGAAGTGGCAAAGGCGGTGGTGCTGGCCAAAGCTTGCACTGAATGCAGCTTCATCTCCAACCAAGCTACCTTTCGTCAGACTTATGTCTCCCTGCTTTGTCATCTGCTTCCCAATGAAGAAGCCATCATGGAGGTATTACAACACTTTGTTTTTCTGAAGAGGGGTAGGAACGCTTGCAGTAGACTTTTGGTTGTTGGCATAATAGTCTTTTAGTCCAGTCATACATTTGTGCCTGCTTTTGTCAGCTGGAACTGTAATATAATAATAATAATAATAATAAAGGTATTTCTGTTGGCACTATTTATAACTTAGCATCAACAACAATGTGTTAAAGTATAAGTAACAAATTACCAAACCAACCTGTAGTATATTTTAATAGTAAAGTGCAAAGCGCTAAAGTCTGTGTATCTCAGTCACTGAGACAGTCATGATGTTTAGGGATTCTTCTACAAAAAGTGTATATACATATCAGTGATTTCCAATGTAGTGAACTTGTAGGTTGTAGAGTAGTTTAGCTAAAAAAGTATTGCTTAAGGTGAATTGTTCTCTAAAAGTAATCAAATGTACGTGGTCGAAACGTCGAGCTTCTGCTCAACCCGCTATATTAAGAGACATATGGTTGTGGCAGGATGTGCTGAAGGGTCACAGCAGCTATTATCAGCATTACACACATAATTCTTTCCCTCATATAAAATTAATATCATAGTGAAAAATAAAAATGTGGACATATTTGCAAGTCAAACCGTTTTTAGAATGAATATGAAAAGGTGTCTATTTATAAAGTTTCTCTGCACGTCTCCAAAAATAGAGCCCCAAATTCACATCCAAATTGAGACTCAGAAGACCTTAAATCTTCGGGGATTCAGTAAAACATACTGCGAATTATCTCTTTTTCAACCATTTGAGAAGGTGCCATTTCTTTCGGTTGAGGCCCAGAGTAGCATATCTGTAACGTTCCAACTGTTTATTCTGATGGACAGGGAGTTCTCAGTGACTCCGGCAATGATATGTGCATCTTATTTCTCTTCTTACCTCATTAAGTCCTGCCTATGTATTGATGTTTGTCTCCTTTCCCCAACCTTTTATTGGTATGCTGTTTAGTTGAAAACCTTGTACATCCAGTTTGAAATGATCACACTTTCAGAGCTGTTGAAAGATAACACACCCCTTTTATAGGTCTATACTGGTAACACCATTTTCTAACCTCTTTCCATACTTTCTCCAAACGTATGTAAATTTTGTGAAATAAATTGTTAAGACAGATTCAGATTAAATCAGCTGCTGCAGCAACCTGATGTCATGCCACAGTGACCAAATGCAATAAGACCAGTCAAACTGCTCCACAGTCAGCCTGAAATATCACTGAACAATAGTTTGGAACATGGATTCCATCTGGATAGCGCCTATTCTACTCTCCCAGTTGTGTTTATTTTGTGTACCCAGTCTAAGCTGTGGTTGAGCTACATAGACAGTGAATGACTGAGAGAGAGTGCCGGTGGTGAGAAAACCGGTCAAACAGAGAAATAAAACGTTTACTGATTGTTTCACAGCAGTTAAGTCCTAAGCACAACTACACCCAGACCCCCAGCCATCCCACACAAACACACACACACACACACACACACAGCTGCATGACCTTGCGGCTAATCGCTGCATTGCCTGATTTCATCTGAACATGGCCTTATCTAGCTGAAATCAAGTTGTTTTTTTAACAGAATAAATTCACATTAGTTTGAATGCAGTTATTGCACTGATGTTTGTTATGGCCAAATAATTGCTGACAACTGGTGTGTGCTGATTGTACAGCCCACCCCCAGTTCAAGAGGTCAAAGTGATGAATGCAGATAAAGGGGGCTGACGTCTCAGGCATACATGCAGGTTCAAATTGAACATTTAAAGCCTTTTGCTTTCACGTGCGAGTAGTGAAATTGATTCTGTATGTGATCTATATAATGGACTATTATATTTAATTCCAAAGAGTTAAATAATCTATGTTAAATTTCTAATTTGTGTTGCGTCACTGTGTTTTAATTTAACATGTATTACTACATTATTGTTGTTTTTTTTTTTGTTGACTTACTTTGCTGAGCTCGGCTAGTAGAGCACACAACTGATGGGTGGTTCTTGTCTGAATGCTGCCCTGAATAATCTGCACTGTGTTTTGCCACATTATCCTGGCAGTGGTGTATGACTAACCCTTGCTTCTAGATAAGCAAAATGTGACTTTTTGGTTTTATGTTTTATCTGTTCACACAATTTATATCAAAATCTTTGGGTCTTTTGGTTGTTTAAATTATTTTTTCTGGCAGTTCTGCCCACTTTACAGTCACAAGAGACTAGGAGTGTGAAATGTGATAAGAGCTTTCTGACTGTAATCAAACTTGAGACATGATAGTGGATTTTGTCATATGTGTGTTGGTTTGTTTTGGGCCTTTTTTTATATATCCCTAATTTTTTTTTTGGAGCAACTCGAAACAGCTTCCATCCCTACATTCAATGGATTGATTGTAGCGGTGGACTGATACACCTTTGTCTCTCCCAATTCTGATCCGATACCGGTGCTCTCTCTTTTCCAAATTTAAAATCTGCGCACCGCACTGTGCAGAACTAATTAGAATCATGTTAATGTGAGGTTTGATGAGGGATTGCTGTGGCACTAAACACTTAAGTAGGTAGCTCTGAACGAATGTAACTACGTTTAATGAGGATCGTTCACATCACAATATATACCTGATCCAAATAATGTCAGTATCAGGACCAATAACTATCCAGGATATCATATTGGCTCATCCCTAACTGACATGTTAACATAATTGCTAAAACATTATATTTACTCCTTGAACAGATATCCAGACTTGACTGTAAGGATGTACTGGAGATCACATGCAACTTAGAGACAGAGGGAGAGGAGAACACAGCCTTCATCTTGTGTACAACTTTCCTGACACAGCAGCTTCAGCAGCAGAGCCTTTACTGCTCCTGGTGAGTAGCCATTGTACATATATAATGTATGACAACAGTCAAATGTATATTGAAAATGAGTCTGGATATTTAAATTATCAAACAAGTTGGTTTTCTTTGGTATTGACGTGATGATCAGAGAGTCAGTCAAAATTAGAATATTTCTTAATTCTTCTTTTTTTTTTTTTTATCCAAAGGGAGTTGACTCTGTTGTGGAGTAAGCTCCAGAGGAGGATCGACCCCTCGTTGATGTCTCTTCTGGAACGATGCCTTCAGCTAGGAGCCATTGCCAAAACCGTCTACCATTTGCTTTACCTGGTCCGTGTTATTCAGACAGAGGTGAGCCCAGCCGTCCTACTGTTCGCTTTTATACTGGATTTGAGTTGGTGCATTGATTATATGAGACTACTCATAAACCAGTCAGTTCCAGGTACTAAGGAGCCCCAGGAACTAAAAACCTTCTTCGCAAGGGCTTCCTGTTGGCACTTCCTCAACATCTGAAGAGCCATGAAAATTAGTCAAAGTCAGATAACTGCACACACTGAATGTAAAACAGCGAACCTGTTGGCAGTTTTGTCTATTCACAATTCCAATAAAGTTATATATTTATATATATATATTAAAAGTATTGGCAGAATAGAAGAAGAAGGTAGCATTACTTGGTTCTACTGTGAATGGAAAGTAAGAAGACAAAGATATTAATATGTAGCAGCAGATGGCAGTGAAGTTCAGCTTTATATCACAGCAGACTACAGTATTATGTAAAATGCTACTCCAGTTATATTAAAACAAGTTTATAATAAATGTAATTACTCAAACTGCAAAATTGCTGACATGCCCACAAATTGTCAGACAACCACCAGCATGCAGTCTAGTTGTTTCATGAGAGAGCTGAAATGACCAATGTCATGTCTTACACACGCATTCGAGTGACCCAGATCTTCAAAGTCTTTCAAAGGTCCTTTAATTCCAAGTGGGAGCCCTTTCTTGTTTGTTACAGGGCATTTTCTGCTCAAAATAAAGCTATATGTGATTTCTTTTTATGCTGGGATTCAAAGAGTAACTGCGTGCAGTCTGTTAATTTGCCATGCCCTCATGTCATCTAGGGTGACAAGATGCTTTTTCCATGACCTCACACATACCAAACACCTTAGCTCTATGTGGTCAGGTGTGGTCTGTTGACAGCTCTGATGTAGCTTGACACCCAAGTACGACGCTACATCACAGCTGTCAAAAGACCACACCTGACCACCCACACAGAGCTAAGGTGTTTGGTATGTGTGAAGACTTTTACTGTACCTTTTGACCCAAATGTGCTATAGTAAAGCTACTTTTTCTCCTTCCAAAATCGTTACGGAGTTACTCTTTAATGGGGCAAATTTGATTCCAAGTTGAAAAAATATAATTATCCCTGCTTAATTAATTTAGCATATTGAATTGTGTTGACATTATATCTTCATCGTTTCAGAATAGGCTGAATATAAAACAGTGTGTGATTTAAAAGAAAAGTGATTGTTAATGCTAATAATTTATCACTCTCTTTTCAGGCGGAGGAAATTGGCATACCTGCTTCAGTAGAACTGTGTGTCAAAGCCCTTCAGCTTCCAAAGCAGGATGACTCTGAAACAAGGATCTCTGTCTGTAAGACAGTGTCTTGCCTTCTTCCAGACGACCTTGAAGTATTGCGTGCCTGCCTACTCACAGAGTTCCTGCTTGGCCCCTGCCAGGAGGTCTTTGGGTGCCTTGAGGAGCTTTACTTACGTCCAGACCAAAAATATGACCAGGAAAACGAGGTTATTCCCAACTCGCTACGCTGCGAATTGCTACTAGCACTGAAAGCATACTGGCCTTTTGACCCCGAATTCTGGGACTGGAAAACTCTCAAGTATCACTGCATCTCCCTTCTAGGGTTGATGCCGGAGTCAGAAGGGGAAGAGGAGGAGGCAGTCGACAAACAAGAGAAGGGTAAACAACCTGAGCCACAAGGAATCACAGTGAAAGTAGAATCTGAACATCAGAAGAGGATAAATGGAAACCTTGATGGTCATGAGCAGCAGAATAAAACGCAGTCTTCTAACTTACAAGAAAGCCAAGGAGATTCCGAGACAAAGAAACACAAGTTCTGCTGTCAGATTTGTAAGAGGTTGGTCACCGACACCCAAATCGTTCACCACTCAAAAAGACATGCAGAGGACAACCGCAACCCCTGCCCGGTGTGCTTGGAAAAGTTTAAGAGCAGAAAGGAACTTGTTCCTCACATGAAACAACACATTCAGAATGAAACAAATCTTAATAAAAACATAAAGAAAGAAGACACACAGAAACAGGTGGACGAGGAAGACGATATTGAACCAGGGGAGATCACCATTGACCCTTCCTTAATGCTGTATTACAATTCCACACACGATCCAGACGTGCTGCACCACATTGTACAACAAGCCAAAACTGTGAAAGACAAGCACGTAGACGATGACGAGCATGTAACATTCGAATACATTGACCAACACTTCAAGCTGCAGAACCGAGATGAGTATCAGTGTCCAGGAACCGGGTGTACTCGGATTTTTAAACATTCCAAGTACTTGTATGTCCATTTAAAGTCGGAGCACAGAGGGGATGAGAATGTGAAACATTTTCATCAGATGAGAGACAAGCGGGAGAAGTGTGTTTTTTGTAGACGCCATTTTGTCTCCGCTTACCATCACCGCAAACATAGAAGAATTCACTATGGTGATCGGCCTTATGCGTGTGTGGTTATAGGCTGTGGCGCTAAGTTTAGTACTTCCAACGAACTTGTCACACACAAACAGACCCATGGCTATCAGCTCAACTACCAGTGTGAGCTCAAAGGCTGTTATGTCACCTACTCAGACTTGGGACAAATCTATCACCACGAAGCACAGCATTTCAGAGATGCAGCATTTACCTGCTCTAGCGCTGAATGTAGAAAATACTATTTATCCAAAAAGGAATTCATAAAGCATTTATCCACACACAAAATCACTTTCTCTGAAGATGACTTTGAGGCTCAGAGGAAGGCAAAGCGGAAACTTCTGAAGACTGTTACTGAAACAACAGCCCATCCGACAGTGCAGACAGAGGAGATTGTAAATGAAGATGTGCTGAACTCTTCCTCAGTAAGTTGTGCCTCCTCTTTGCAAGCATCCGAGAGCAAGGAGCCCAAAGCAACAATGACCCTGGTGGCTGTGTGTTTTGATGGAAGTAAGTTCACCTGTGGTTTTGAGAAGTGTGGCATGACTTTCTCCAGAGCCAGAGATGTCCAGAGACATCTGAAATGTGCCCACCCAGAACACCTTAAACTGGAGAACAAAGAACACAAGCATGACAAAGAACGCGGCTCAAAGTCCAGAGGGATAAAGACTGAGCCAGACAATGAGGAAAAGGGAAAAAATGAGCTCTCAACTCCTCCACAACAACAACAACAACAACAACAGCAACAACAGCAACAGCAACAACCCGTTGAGTCTGGCAAAGAAAGAAAAGCATCCACTCAGCCCAAAAACAATGAAACAAACTCTTCAAGACTGCAAACAAAAAACGATGCTCTGAAGGAAATTCTTATTGGGCTCAGTAAACTGGACCTGAATTCTTCCTCGCCTCACAGTGTGCCAAGTGAACCCCCACAGTCCGACGCAGAGTCCAATGCATCACAGGTATCTCTTCATCAGGCTATCATGGCCACGCCTCCTGTTGTATTGCTTCAGAAGAGACCCCCAAATCTGCCTGAGGAGAGGGTTAAAGTCAAAACGGAAGAAGCATCAGCGACTGACGACGAAGGCGGAGTTGAATCATTAGCCACTGCTAAGCCATACATTTGTGAGATGGAAGGTTGTGACTTTAGGACTGCTCAGAGTTACAGCTTACTGCGACACTATAACACCAGACATGGTCGTACTGTTGAACAAGCCAAAAGGCTGACTTCTTTGAAAACTACATCTTTTAAGCCTTACGTGTGCCATCTTTGTTCCAAGAGTCACAGAGAAAAACACGTGTTGAGGGCTCACTATCTTCACGCACATAACCTGAGTGAGACTCTGGTGGGCAAAGTAAGCTGTGCATCTAGACGGTATGAGGGAAGCAAAGACACTATAATGCATACGTCTCAGCACTTGGCGAACCAGGGACTGAACGTGAGGAAGAAAGAAATCCCTATGTTGCAACACCAAGATAAGAAAAAAAACTCCACCATGAGTCCCGAAAATGCACAAAACTTTGACAATCAGTCTGCATCTGAAGAGGAAGTAGAGGATGAACCAGAGAGTAGAGAGGAAGACGGTGAGCAGAAGGTAGAAAGTGAGGATAGGACCACACAACAGGTCAGAACGACAAGACGTTTGGTAGCCAAAGGTAATCTCTGCTATATATTGGATAAATTCAGTAAACCCTTTCATTGTGTTGCAAAAAACTGTGTTGCAGCCTTTTCCACCCAGGGAGGCCTTGTGCGTCACCTACAGTTGGTACATCATTACAATCGCTCTCAGCTCTTGTTGGAGAAAGAGTTTGATGCCCATCACACTCCAGAAGTCAGAAAAGAGCCTGCCAAGAAAAGGCCTCTCCCAAACTCAGATGAACCTCAGCCCCAATACAAATGCCACTTTGCCAACTGTAATGCTTCCTACCACCTTAAAAGCAGCCTAGTGCGTCACACTCGTGATTACCACTCACAACCACCAGAGCTAATAAGGTGCAAATATGAAGGCTGTACAAGGGTGTTTAGCCATGATGATGCACTTAAAAAACATACGCTATATAGTCACTTTGAGTACTACGATTCACTGGTGGTACGTCTACAGAGCACTCACAAAAAGTCAATTACTGGATGCCAAAAGAAGCTTATTGTTGCACCACCGAGTCCTGAGAAGGAAGAACCTGGTTCAACCACCACACAGGCCGAGAGATCGAGTCCAGGGCCTGAAGTGACCGCCCAGTCAGAGGAAATGGATAAGGAGGGTGTTGTGGAGAAGAAACCGTCAGGAAAAAAATCAAAAAAAAATTCTTACAGCTGCTTTGTCTTCAGGTCTCATGAAGAAGCACTACAGATGTGCCAAGACCGCTGTTTGCGGGTGGCCTATCCATGCATGGTTCAGGACTGTGATTCTGTCGTCACATATACGGGAAGTTTGCAGCGCCACTACCTTCAGGTTCATCGCATGCGTCGAGAAGATCTCGTTAAGAACGAAGATAAGCTTGTTTATACTGCTGAGCAGCTTGAAGAACTGATTCAGAGGAAGTCGGCCAGGCCAACAGTTACAGGAGCGTGTGCCCCTAATGGGGTTCGCATAATGGAGTATCAGGCAGAGGCAGAAAACACAGGGGGGCAGCCTGCCCCCATGAGCTTACACTCAATCAAGGCAGACACACAGGATAAGGATAATCATGATTCACTAGGATTCCCAGAGGAAGAAGAGGAGGAGCCACCACCTGTTGAGAGAAATGGCGTCCTTGTTGGTGCAGACGAGGTGCTTTACGGTGAACCAAGCCCCGGTGGGCACACTGAAGACTCTGCTGCAGCAACACAGAACAGTCAGAAACAGGAGGAGAGATTAAGCTTGGATAAAATCAAACCGCTTCTTCGTCCAGTCACTGTTGACCTCTCGCCACCATGCTCACTTCGCTTTACTAGTGAGGAGGGCTTCCAAGACATGTCGAGCACCAAGGATGGTGGTAAAATGTTGAACGGGTCAGCTGCATTGCCTATTCCTCCTGTTCGCCAGCCACTAAAACGGAAAAATGAACTGTCCGAACAGCCGCAAAACTTGAAAGACACTCAGCCTTGTACCCCTTCTCCGCGCGCGTTTGACATCACCGCCTACAAGCCCATTGGCTTTGAGTCCTCATTCCTGAGGTTCATACAAGAGACAACCCCAAATGACAAAAACACGGTGCCGGTGAAACGGCGAGACTCTTTCAGACGCAGTTGTTCCGTGAAGGAGAACAACCAGCTGGGCATCTCTCATACCCGCAGCAGACGTACTCATTCCCCACTGCTGAAGCCCCACGCTATGACTGGAGACTTCACATCAGTCCAAAACTTGAAGTCCATCTTGGACAAAGCCCTGGCTGGGTGTGGGGACCTGGCCATTAAGCAGCTTCAGTACCTCAGACCTGTGGTGGTCCTGGGGAGACCTGTGTGCGCCACCACCCCGCCTGACCTCTTCCCATCAGACACCAACAACAGCAAACTGCTTCTTGGAAGTTAGTTTAACTGAGCACCTTTTTAACATAGCTATGACAGATGACTTTGTATTTTCACAAGATGTGTACCAGTATTTTTTCTTTCTCCCCAAGTGATCATATTATGTTTGTTTTTTTGGGGTTTGTTTTGTAAGTTGCCAAACTAAGGAGTTAAAGAAATTAGCATTAAGATAAAAAAAAAAACAAGCTTAAACAGTGCACATGAGCTACAACAGTGGGCTGTTTTTTTTTTTTTTTAGACATCTGTTATGAAATCATTCATATAACACCTGTTATGTTAAGTCATGAAGTGTATATACTGTAGTTCTCAAAGATAAATGTACAGATTTTCAGATTGTTAGAAATGGTCAGTAGCGTATGACAAGGCCTTTTCATTTGTGTGAAAATGTGACTGAAAAACATTTCCTTACTAAGAAGTTCTTGAGGAATATGTTTGGTTATTTTTCACCTCACTTTATATTAAAACAGTGTTGGGATGCAGTGGACAGATGATGGCAGACTTGTATGTAACACTTTCTAATAAAATAAATGTGGAAACGAATATAAAGCCCTTTTACTTTCACAGCTGTGTAAGTGACTTATTTATCTATACCATGTTTGCTAAGTCACAGTGAAGTAGGAGCTGTTTGCTAAATTAAAAATACACCTAACTCAATATCTTAGAATCATCTGTGTCAGGAATCTTAAAGTGCTGGCCTGGGGGCCATTTCCAGCCCTCCACCCCCCTCTGTCCAGCCTTAAAGTTTATTACATGTATATATTTTATTGTTGTTGTTTCATATTAAGTTAAACTACCCCTTCATGTACAATTAAAATAAAATTAAAAAACAATTCTATTTTTAAAAATCATGTCAAAGATGCAAATATGTGCAAATGGTTGATAAGAAGAGAGCTGGTTTGTTTGGGGGCTTTATTTGTGGTTTGGCTGAGATGATATTAAAATGTATAGACACTGCTGTTTGCATTTCTTTTGTTAAGTATGATGTGACTAATGGGAATCGTCTTGTAGTATTTGAACAATGAAGTTGCCTTCCTATGAGATGATAATACAAGTAGTGGCCCCAAGCTAATTGTACCAAAAATGTGTTGAGTTTATGTAATTAAACTGGAATATGGTATTTATGCTCATTTGGTACACAATGAGGTGCTTTTCTCAAAAAATTGGAATTTGCAAAGTGTCAAAAAAAGTTAATTTGTTTCTGTGTGACGTAACATCTTTTCAGCTGATCATTAATATGATTAATTTAGTGTTTTATTTTATTGTCTCAGATTGAAGTCTTAATTTTATAGACTGGGCTGGATTACCAACCGGGCATAGCTGGTAACTCCCTCGGGATCCATGACCCATAAAGTGTTTGGCTATTAGTTTGTTATGCATCTAAATCATAACGTTGTTTAGGAAAATGAACAACCAAAAGAATAACAGTGGCTGACTGATAACGGCCTTCAGTGGGATCGCTGTTTGAAAAATATAGGTATATTATGACTACGTGGCGCACATTATTTAACAAATGTTTCAATTAAAGTACCACATGTAACCTGGAGCCATGCAATACTGCAGAATATGAATACTGTGCACACTGCGCAGACTGTCTGCGCAGGGAGGCAACAGGAGCAGCTTATGTCTGTGGCCATAGCGGCTCTATATTACTGATGTCACATCATCTGTAGTGTTTCTGCTGATTAAATACCAATTTACAGACCAAGGGGGCTATAAATGAAACATAATAATGGCAAACACTTATTGTCTTGTATTGTTAAGATACAAAATGCTACTAGGAACCAAAGTTCCCTTAATTCACTGATCATGAAAAATAATAATTGAGGATCCTACATATTTTAAAGACATTACTTTAAAAAAAATAAACACCACTTTCTATATATTTAGCATATATATACATTTCACAGCCTTTTGTTCCTCGCAACTAACGTTAAATTAAATAAAAGCGCGGAACTAAAGTTACAGTAACCGGTTTCCGATGGGATAGAAATTGTCGCCACACCTCAGCGACAGGGTCACATCTCGTATGAATGGAAATGTATCAGGTGTAAAAAGGCCTCGACTCAGGAATGGAAACTGGATGCTAACATTTCCCGAGTTGACCATTTTGAGTCTGTGTCTGTGGGCTGAACGCGAGACACAACCTCGCTGTCTGTCCGTCCGCCTGTCTGTCTGTCTGCCTGTCTGCAGCTCAAGCTAAGTTAGTTAGCTGCTAGCTGCTAGCCTGAATCGACACAGTCAAGCTGGGTAACGTTAACGTCGCCGTTAGCCTGCTAGCTAGCGTTGACGGTATATAGGTAGCTGGTAATTCTTCCTCCGATAGCATAGACTGGAAAACGGAGCAAAGATGGTTGACTCTCTGTTTGACCTCCCGGTGGAGAAGCAGATATTTTATGCTGTGTTGGCATTTTCGTGGACGGTGTATCTCTGGGAGGCTTACATTTCTTCCAGACAGGTAACGTGAAGTTCAATCATTTGTCAGAGTCAGACCGACGTTTCTGCCTTGTAGCTTCATGTGTTCAGAGGGTGAAATTAAAAGAGCCGAAATCCTATTCATTCATTAAAGAAGCTTAGAAATAAATTTTAAAAATGTTGAATTTGAAGTAATTTACGTTTCTTACAAAGGGAAGTTCATTTAATGTTTCACAGCATAATGCAAATACACATTTCTATATAACTCTTTCTATATAACCGTTGTTATGTTGCACAATATGTATGTAAGTTATATATTGTGACTTCTCACTTGGTAAAACGATAAGTTCTTGACAAATATGTTTAGTTCTTCTCCCCCTCAGTGTGTATTGCGTTGGGCTGCACTGGATACATGTTGGCAGACAGTGTATGTCTTCTTGCATGAATGTTGAAACAAATATAAAAGCCCTATACTGTCTGAATTGTCTAAATGGCGTCTTTTCTTTGCACGTTTCCTAAAATGAAATGTGAAAATGGTGTGCTGAGTGTGGTTTACTTCCTCCAGAAACAGGATATTGTGGCAGAACATAATGTGGGCTGAATTAAAAATGCAAAGAAATGTGATAACACTGTAGATTTATTACATAAAATCCTTTTTTAGTTCTTTGGATTTCCAAAGTTGCTACTTTCTTAATGAGTTAGAGAGAAATGAACCCCAGAACAAATGAAACAATCATAGAAACTAGGAAACTCGAAATGTGATTGTTTTTCAAAGTTAGGATTAGGAGCAAGATCTTGGGGAAAAAAGCTAGACAAATGGATTAAATATGTGGTTTGTGGAAATCTGGACAAAATAAACCACGGAAGAATATAAGTTAACTATATTTCTAATGTAATACTGTAACAATTGTCTCTCTCATGTTGTTTGATATTTGACACTGTTTGAACAAACTAATTATAGCAAGGGCTAACAGTATGAAGGAACTGAGATATAACGCTGGTGCTGATCTCTTTCCCCTCCACAGAGGAGGGTATACAGATTAACAACACATGTGCCACAGGAGCTAGGTAAGATCATGGATCCTGAAACCTTTGAGAAGTCACGTCGTTATCAGCTGGATAAAAGCAACTTTAGCTTTTGGTCTGGACTCTATTCTGAGACTGAAGGGACGGTAAGACAACCAGAATATGTATTTATGTTTTTTGCCACATGTTTTTAATTTGATATGTATGATTAAAAAAAAGGCTCGTGTCATGCTCCAAATGTTTTAGTTGATCCTGGTCCTGGGTGGAATCCCATTTTTGTGGAGCGTCGCTGGTGCTGCGACAGCTCGCTTTGGATATGGTTCAGAGTACGAGATCACCCAGTCACTCGTGTTTCTGACGCTCGCCACGCTCTTCAGTGCTTTGACTGGACTTCCATGGAGTTTGTACAGCACATTTGTCATTGAGGAGAAGCACGGCTTCAATCAGCAGGTACGCCGACAGAACAGCAGTTGCCTCCGGGGGCCTGCAATGTTACCACTAAATGTTTGTAGTTTCCTTCCTCAGGAAGAACAACAGCTGTGATTATCTTGTGTTATAATGGTTGTTATGGATTGCAGCCAACATGGATGCAACATGAATTCAATTATCACACAATCATCCTTTTTACAGTCTTCAGTGGATGTGGTGTGTTTAGCTATGTTTTTAGCAAAACATGACTACTTTAAACATAAGCACGATGGACAGCTAAGATTATTTCAGATACTATCAATAATATTTTTCACTGTGAAAGCTTGTCAGCATTCAAATCTGTTACCGCCACAGAAGTCTACCAAGATTACTTGATAAAAGATCACCAGTTTAGTCACACATGCACACACACACTCTGACAGACCACTACTTGTTTTGCTGTTGTTTTTTTAATATTAATGTCTTGTCTTCCTCTCAGACCATTGCGTTCTTCATCAGGGATGCTATAAAGAAGTTTGTTGTGACCCAGTGTATCTTGCTGCCGGTCACCTCACTGCTCCTGTACATCATCAAGATCGGTGGAGACTACTTTTTCATCTATGCCTGGCTGTTTACCCTGGCTGTTTCTCTGGTTAGTGCTGCGTTCACCTTGTTAAACAATGAGTGAACTTGTAGAAAAGGCATCTGTGTAATAAAAGAAGAAAGTAAATCAAAGGTCACTCTGTTGTTACACTTGTCTGATTGTTCTCCTCTTCTCTTGTGTCCTCAGGTACTTGTGACAATCTATGCTGACTACATTGCTCCCCTGTTTGACAAGTTCACTCCTTTGCCAGAAGGAGAGCTGAAGACAGATATTGAGGATATGGCCAAGAGTATAAGCTTCCCCCTGACTAAGATTTATGTAGTTGAAGGTAAAGTAATACTACTAAATCCAGGGTGCATCACTACAGGTTGTTTGTTGATGCGCTGCTCTTTAATTGTTTGTTAAATGTGTTCAATATTTTCAGGTTCCAAGCGTTCGTCACACAGCAACGCATATTTCTATGGGTTCTTCAAGAACAAACGCATTGTGCTGTTTGACACTCTGCTGGAAGAGTACTCGCCTCTCAACAAGTCTACAGATCCACAAACAGATATTCCAGAGAGCGACGATGGCAGCGAATCAAAAGTCAAGGCCAAGGTTCCATGCTCATAAACTTTATTCAGAAGTTATTATTGCACTGAAACACACAAACCAGGTTTTTGTTTTACAGTCCGTTTTAAGAGGTTTCAATGTTTGTGGCCATAAAAAATAAACACTTTGACTTTTAGGAACTATAGTTTTCCTCAACAGCACTTGATAATTTCGTAAAACAGCACCCATATTCATAAACATGCATTATCTCTTTGAATCAAGAGAGCGAAGAAGGCTGCAGTTTCTTCCTTTTAACAGCACACGTAACTGTTAATGTTCAGTCTGGCTGTTGTATGCTTACCTGTGACCTGGCTGTTTATGATTGCTATTGTGTTGTGTTTCTGTTTAATCCCAACAATGTTGTTGACTTGATAATTTTACAGCACAAGAAACAAGGATGCACTAACCCAGAGATCCTTGCAGTCCTCGGTCATGAACTTGGCCACTGGAAACTTGGCCACACTGTCAAGAATATTGTCATCAGTCAGGTGATGAGTTGTCTCATGTCATTAAGAATTATTTTTCTGACTCTTGAGCTAATTCTTTTTCCTCTTCAATGTCTGCACAAAGACAAAAGCAACATGTTACACTGTTTGTTTTTTCTGCAGATGAACTCCTTCCTGTGCTTCTCCTTGTTTGCTGTTCTGATTGGGCGTAAAGAGCTGTTTGTAGCTTTTGGCTTCGATGACAGCCAACCCACTTTAATAGGCTTGATGATTATCTTCCAGTTCATCTTCTCCCCATACAATGAGGTGAGTGTGGGATTGATAAATGTTGTTTCAGTCGGTTTTTGAGCTGTTCAGACGAGTTTTATATTTTGTCTTTGCAGCTCCTGTCCTTCTGTCTGACAGTCCTGAGTCGCAGGTTTGAGTTCCAGGCAGACGCCTTTGCACGCGCCATGGGCAAAGCCTCCGAGCTCTACTCTGCCCTCATCAGGCTTAACAAGGACAACCTGGGCTTCCCCGTGGCTGACTGGTTGTTCTCCATGTGGCACTATTCCCACCCTCCTCTGCTGGAGCGCCTCAGAGCACTGGGCAACATCAAGCAGGACTGACGGGAATGGAAGGGGGAGCAGTGGTCGCTGCCTCCTCCAAAGGGCCTCCGCAAACCACTTCTACCAGTGTGACGCAAGACCCCCTCCGCACCCCCTCCCACCGCCACATCTTGTTTTAACTTGTTTTACTCATTTGTCCATTTGCCATTCCTTTTCTTATTTTGTTCCATTTCTTTAAGCTTATAAAGTGGTTAACCCTACAGTATACTGAGGTTTTTTTTTTTATTGTGGATTTATAAAACAACAAAAGACAGACAGACACTTCATATGTACCCATTACAGTACTTTTTGCAGATACTCAGGCTAGAATTTGATTTGTCCCTCAAGTGCAACAGTTGCTTCTCTAGAAATATCTCCAGGCAAACTCAAGAGTAAAAATGTATGTAGCCATCAACTCAAAATCGGTTTTGCAAAAGGAACTATGTAAATGCTTTGTCACAGCGATAAAAAAGTGAGGGCCTCTTAATTATCTCTGTGAATGTTCTGCGAATGGACGCATTATGAACAGAGCATGGGGGAAAATGTCATTAGAATTTAGGTTAGACTTGTGATTTTCATTTTTTACATGCATTGGCAGGATCTTGTTTTACTTTTTTCTAAAGCACTTGCTTGCCAACAAGGTTCCAACCATACCTGTACATATGTAACTGTAATGCCTATAATATTGGTAGTATTAGTATCTATAGTATTGGTGTATCATGTGAAAAATGTTTAATGTGGTTTGAAATTTTAAGTTGATACTGTGTTTCTTAGTTTCTGGGCCATAGTGAGCCCAGAGTTGCCTGGCAAGCAGCGTATTTATAGGGGTCTTGGGGCAGGGAGTCTGCGAGGTTCCTTTCACTATATAAGCCAGTGCTTGGTTTGTTCAATAAGGGAACTGTGTACTTTATTTGCAGCACTGAATAAAATCCTTAAAAGCATTCCTTGTGGTATGTATGGTTTTTAAGAATTGACAGATTATGGCTACATCCTTACATTTTGCTGTCACAATTTTCAGTAATAGATTAGTCTTTATTTCCAGCATTAATCTGTAATATTGGATATTTTTTATTTGACAGATAACTCATACGTTTTGTGTGTGTGTGTGCGTGCATGTTGTAGGGGTTTCTTTAGGATTCATTTACAACCACAGATTAACTTTAATAACTTTAATTTATACATTTTTAGCTTTTTGATATGAAACTTTTATTGCAACTTTTATTGTTTAAAATATTTTTTAAAAAACCCCAAAAAACAAGGGTTTTCTCTCTTCTTTCCAAAACTTGGAACTTATTGGTAAATTCATTGACTTGGAGAAAAAATAGAAAGAAATAGTAAAAAACTAAATAGTCTATGACAGTTATTTAAACAGTAATTAAGACAAAAAGAAGCAACAAGTGCATTGTTGACATAAAAAAAAAAAACTAATTATATGTGTTACATCCATACTGTGAATGGTTACATCCTATTTTTTTAACATTAGATTTAAAAGTTTTAATATACATTATATTTTTAAATCCTTTAAGAAAAAGAAAATGTGCATCAATGCATACTGTATTACAAGGCAAAATGTCTTTCTATTAATAAATAAAAATTAAATAAACGGTCCGATATCAACGTGTGAACAGCAGCGACGGAAAAAAAACGTGTGATGTCATGCTGTCCGTTTTTTAGACCAAACCATTAGGAAAAACGAACACGGTATTTTTCCATACACTATATTTAATTCCTTGTTACTTATATAAAAAAACAAAGTTGGTGACTCACCGTAATGATATATCAATATATTAATTATTATTCAACTCGGTTTCTCATTAGACCAACGTGATTTTTGTGTCGTCACCCCCGGACGAATAATAATGGCGCCGTCCTGTGGCGTATTTTTTGAGGACAAGGGCAAGTTCCCCCTGTCAGTGTTGTTTTCACATGTGAGAAACAAACATGGCGAGGTTTCTAAGGCCAAACATCAGGAGTTTTGTCACCTCACAGCTGAGAATGTCGTCCGACCAGGTAACATATGTCCTGAAAACACATTACTTGGTTAAAACACTGCTTTTTTGTAACCGTTATATCGTTGTGTGTGAATAATGATAAATGAATTAGCTTCATGATTTTAACAACTGGAAGCCTTCGTGACAGGACAACTGTTTGTGACATGTTTATAGGTCAAACTCATTTTGTACTAACTTAACTGTTTTAGGGCATTGATTAGTGGGAACCATTTTACAACAATGTCGAGGATGAATTAGCAAGGGGTTCATTTTAATCATAGCACGTTTTGTCTGAATTAGTAGTTGCCTGTCAAACCAGGTTGTTTAGAAAATAATTCAGTTCTATGAATTAGTTTGTCCTGTTTGCAGTTTTTGTTGCGTTGTTGTCACAAAAACAGTTTCTAGTCTGTTCTAAATAGCTCCATTATCACCTGGCAAACAAAGAGGCCCTTTGCCCAACTTTTGTTAAATAAGCTGAATCTTGACCTTCAGAACAGTGTTATTTTCAAAGGGTCTAACCTTTAATATCACATTGACAACTCTATTTAAAAAACCAGAGAAGGAAATTAACTTTGAGTCGTTTTAAGCCTCTGTCTCTTTAGGAAATGTCTGCAACACTAATTTGTCTAAATGTATATATGGTACTAAACATTTCCCTTTTGCCTGCTCCCCCGCCCTGCCTCAGCTGGGTGAGCTGGGTAAAGGAGCAGGAAAAGGTGGTGGCGGTGGAGGGTCAATCAGAGAGGCAGGTGGATCCATGGGGAAGAAGCAGGCCGCAGAGGAGGAGATGTACTTCAAGTATGTGTCTCTTTTATTAATCATGGAACTTATAAGTCACCATATTCTTTTTATTACGATCTTCTCTAATCTGGTTCTGTTTGTTTCTCCTTGTCCCTTCCCTGTCTTTTCTCACTGTTCATCCATTCTCTCCTCTGCTGTCACCCACCACCTTATCTGTCTACCTGCACATAAGGCGTAAGGAGCAGGAGCAGCTCGCTGCTCTGAGGCAGCACCATCAGGAGGAAATTGACCACCACAAAAAGGAGATTGAGCGTATGCAGCGCGAGATTGACCGCCACAAGGGAAAGATCAGAAAGCTAAAGCACGACGACTGAGTCAAACCTTCCTAAAAAGAAAAAGTTCTAGTTTTCTCACAGACCCAACCAGACAGCTTTACTCATAACTTAGATTTCTGCATGCACTGTATCAACGGGTCAGTCATGAATGTGTGGGTGATTGTTCTGTAAATGCTTGAAAGTTATTAAAACCCGTCCATAAAATGACTGTTTCCGTGGCATGCTGTGACACAAGTTGTGCAACTTTTTCAACCCTTTCCCCTTTTTTGTAGTAGATCAGTGTGCTGTATGTTGCAGGCAAAAGGCCAAAGTGGAAAAACTTCAATATATGGCAAAATCAACATTTTCTTGTGTGATGTATAAATAAATTTGCTGTTCATAGCATTGTTAGCATCTCTTATGTAATTTTTCTCATTTTATAAACAATTGGTACATCATAAGAACAACTGACATATTAACTTATAAAGTGAATAATCATTACTTGCAGCCCTTATATTTTTAATATGAAAAGATGAAAATATTACCTGAGAAGGTACTTGTTCATTAAAATGACATGAATTATTGTAAACAAAACAAAACCCCAAATATAATCACTGACATTGAGAATATTTAGGAATACGCACCATGTACATTTTGACACACAGCCATGGGTTTAAATGCAGTTTGTGAACGTGACTTAAAGGCCCTCATCATTTCAGTTAATATTCTGCTTTAGTCATGCACATCCCCAAACACATTTCCAGTTAATCAAATGACCATAAAGCAAATTAGATTCAATGAATATGAGGCCACTGAGGCTCTGGAGCCCTGGGGTAGACAGTCACTTTCCCTGATTGGTAATCTCACATTGAAGCACACAGACTGAAAATTACAGTTCCAAAGTGCATTATCTCTTAATGCATAAAACAACATAAGCATGGGAATTACATTAAACGTTCAATTCACCATAAGCCCCATAAGAATCTTAGTTAAAATCACTTTAAAATGAAAAGTGATTAAAATCAGTATGCAGGCTGCTGCATCGAGTTTGACATGTACACAAGCAGGAGACTGTGTTTTTATTAAAGGGCCAGGTTTAAATCTGTAGAGTCAATCAATCAATCAATCTATCAATTCAATTTATTGTCCTCCAAGGGGGAAATTGATGTTCACATCACTGCACCTGCAGGCAACACCATACACTCAACAAAGAAACACGCTATCCACAATTAACAAATATACAGAACAAAAAAAAACAAACAATCAAATAAATAATACATGACAGCTTACACACACAGGGCGCCTTTGTTTAAGGCAGCAATGGCTGCAGGGATCAGGCTTTCCCCATAGCGAGCCTGTAACGTGAATCATCAGTGGACGACACTTCTCCCTCCACACAAGGGCGGCGATGTAACATTTCTACAAATCTACAAACTTCCCCCGAGAAAGAAATATAAAGTCGTCACTTCCGTCTGCCCCTGCCTTTAACCACGAGCCGAGCGTCCATGTGCCTGTTATTACCGGGATCATGGAGCAGTCAATGTGTTTCTCTGTTGTAGTGATTGCTTTTAAATGTGCAATCATTTCTATTTCAGGTTTGTAGTGATTATAGTCTATATGAAACGTGGTTAGCAATAGTCAGTTATTGACTGAAATGTGAAACGCACGTCTGATTTTAGTTACCGTTACTATGTAAGTTAATAGGAAAGCTAACGCCACTTTTATTTTTTTGGTTCAAAGTTGAAATGGAAATATTAATTTCTTTCTCAACCTGCAGGTTCTGCTGCTTGATGGCAGGGGCCATCTACTGGGCCGCCTTGCTGCCCTGGTGGCTAAACAGGTTCTGCTGGGTAAGTTATATTTTACATTTTGAGGAGTAATCTGTAGATATTATTTGTGTTAGTCACATGAACTATGTATTCACATACTGAACAGCCCATTGAGAAGCCATTGTTGCTTCAGTCTGTCGATGATGATCAACTATCTGCCTTGTTTGAGTTTAACGACCATGATATAACTCACATGCACTACCATCTGAGACGGGATGTAAATGACCATTAACACAACTGGATTTTATTTGGGTGCTCAAACACTAAACTCCATTTGGTTTTTCTTGTAGGACACAAAGTGGTGGTGGTGAGATGCGAAGGCATCAACATCTCCGGCAACTTCTATCGCAACAAGCGTAAGTAAAGTATACGTCTGTTAAATTGTTTGATTAAAATGCTTGTTGTCAATGATGATTTACCTTTTTATTGTTCGAGTTTCAATGACCATGATAACACTTACATGCACTACCATCTGAGACATAAGCATTATATACTGAAGTAATGGTTGCCTGTGGTTAGTTTAAGTATTTGTAACTCAGTTCAAATGTCTACAATGTGCCTCTACAGTGAAGTACCTGGCTTTCCTGCGCAAGAGGATGAACACCAACCCCTCTCGTGGACCTTACCACTTCAGAGCTCCTAGCAGGATCTTCTGGAGGACTGTCAGGGGTGAGAATGTGGCACTACACCAGAAATGGAAACTTCTTCATCAAAACATGAAATTTCTTTAATGCATCCAGAATATCTGTAGGACAATGGACACATTTACTGTGATAGAAATGGATATATAATTCAAATGAGATTGAGAAATTGGTAGATTGCAATCAAAGTGTTTCAGAATTGAACTTAACTGAGACATGCAGTGTTTATTTCTTCAGTAACAAAGTGGTTTGCATAAATGTGGCAGTGATATTGATCAAGTTAGGGGTCCTTAAATTATGAATCAAGAATTTAGCAAAGATTAAATATCAGATTGTAATAATGAGTACTGTGAGTCTCAAGCAGGTTTTATTGAAGTTTAGAAGGTGATTTTAAAGTTTGTTTGACCCGGCACAAGTTATCCTTGCTTGACAGTGATGAACACTATCCCGAAACTGATCTTTTGATGAGACAAACTTAACGGATCTGATTGCTGAGTTGAGTAAGGAGTACGACTTGTGCTTGGACCAAAAAAAAGCCTTTGATACAGCTGCAATTTTAGTTATTTGGAAATGTATTAAACTTGCGTGTATTCTCTCTGCTATCCAGGCATGCTTCCCCACAAAACCAAGAGAGGCCAGGCTGCTCTGGAGAGGCTGAAGGTGTTCGACGGTATCCCCCCACCTTATGACAAGGTGATGAATCTCAACTAACATCCATATTCTGTGTGGCTTAACTCTGCTGTCTGTGATGTCACTTATTATCGTACCTACCTTGTTTGAATTGCTTTGAAAACAAAAAATATCTGAGACATGCTATCCTATGAATGTTTAGATGTGCCCTTTTCTTCTTTGTCTGATTTTGGCTTTTGTTCCACAGAGGAAGCGCATGGTTGTTCCAGCTGCTCTCAAGATTGTGCGTCTGAAGCCCACTCGCAAGGTGAGACTTAAATATTTGAGATTTGAGGGTCGCAGTGATATTGATTGCAAAGCTTTCTTGGCTGTAAAATGTTCAGACATCAAATACAAATGCTTCAATTTACCTGCCACAACCGTTCTTACTTGACAGTGATGAGCTCTTTATCCCGAAACTGATCATTTATTGATGAGACAAACTTTTCGGATCTGATTGCTGAGTTGAGTCGGGGACAAGTTGTGTCTCAAGTTGAAGCTTTAAACATCAAAGTTTTTTTATGTTTTAAAGGCAATATTAGACATTAAAAATAAGGTCTTTTGTGTGAAAACTGCTCTAAATTTTAGACCTAATTTTTAGCTGCTGGTTCAGTTTGCCAGTGATACACATGCTGACTTTGATTTTTCTTTCCCTCTCAGTTCGCCCTCCTCGGGCGTCTGGCACATGAGGTCGGCTGGAAGTACCAGGCAATCACAGCCACCCTGGAGGAGAAGAGAAAAGAGAAGGCCAAGCTCCGCTACGCCAAGAAAAAGACAGTGAACAAGCTGACCAAGCTGGCAGAAAAGAACTTTGAGGCCAAGATTGCAAAATACACAGACGTTCTGAAACAATATGGAGTCCTTGTCTAAGCTGGTTACCTCTGGCTAATAAAGATAAATAAATGTTTACTAAACATTTCAATTTTACCTGCTCACCCGCCCTGCCTCAGCTGGGTGAGCTGGGAAGAGGTGGTGATGGCGGCGGAGGGTCAGAGAGGCAGGTGGATCCATGGGGAAGAAGCAGGCCGCCGAGGAGGCGATGTACTTAAAGTACGTGTCTCTTTATTAATCATGGAACTTATAAGTCACCATATTTTTCTTTAATTATGATCTTCTCTAATCTGTTTCTGTTTGTTTCTCCTTGTCCCTCCCCTGTCTTTTCTCCCTGTTCATCCATTCTCTCCTCTGCTATCACCCACCACCTTATCTGTCTACCTGCACATAAGGCGTAAGGAGCAGGAGCAGCTCGCTGCTCTGAGGCAGCACCATCAGGAGGAAATTGACCACCACAAAAAGGAGATTGAGCGTATGCAGCGCGAGATTGACCGCCACAAGGGAAAGATCAGAAAGCTAAAGCACGACGACTGAGTCAAACCTTCGTAAAAAGAAAAAGTTCTAATTTTCTCACAGACCCAACCAGACAGCTTTACTCATAACTTAGATTTCTGCATGCACTGTATCAACGGGTCAGTCATGAATGTGTGGGTGATTGTTCTGTAAATGCTTGAAAGTTATTAAAACCCGTCCATAAAATGACTGTTTCCCTGGCATGCTGTGACACAAGTTGTGCAACTTTTTCAACCCTTTCCCCTTTTTTGTAGTAGATCAGTGTGCTGTATGTTGCAGGCAAAAGGCCAAAGTGGAAAAACTTCAATATATGGCAAAATCAACATTTTCTTGTGTGATGTATAAATAAATTTGCTGTTCATAGCATTGTTAGCATCTCTTATGTAATTTTTCTCATTTTATAAACAATTGGTACATCATAAGAACAACTGACATATTAACTTATAAAGTGAATAATCATTATTTGCAGCCCTTATATTTTTAATATGAAAAGATGAAAATATTACCTGAGAAGGTACTTGTTCATTAAAGTGACATGAATTATTGTAAACTAAACAAAACAAAACCCCAAATATAATCACTGACATTGAGAATATTTAGGAATACACACCATGTACATTTTGACACACAGCCATGGGTTTAAATGCAGTTTGTGAACGTGACTTAAAGGCCCTCATCATTTCAGTTAATATTCTGCTTTAGTCATGCACATCCCCAAACACATTTCCAGTTAATCAAATGACCATAAAGCAAATTAGATTCAATGAATATGAGGCCACTGAGGCTCTGGAGCCCTGGGGTAGACAGTCACTTCCCCTGATTGGTAATCTCACATTGAAGCACACAGACTGAAAATTACAGTTCCAAAGTGCATTATCTCTTAATGCATAAAACAACATGAGCATGGGAATTACATTAAACGTTCAGTTCACCATAAGCCCCATAAGAATCTTAAAAGAAGTGATTAAAATCATTATACCACATGATGGTGCATTGCGTTTGACATGTAAGTTACACTCTTGAGATCAGCACAAGCAGGAGACTGTGTTTTTATTAAAGGACCAGGATTAAATCTGTAGAGTCGTAAATATATATTTCCAACTGCGATTCAAAAAGAGCATCAACTTAAACAGAAATCAGGTACAACCTATAACGTCAATCATCAGTGGACGACACTTCTCCCTCCAAACAAGGGCGGCGGTGTAACATTTCTACAAATCTACAAACTTCCCACGAAAAAGAAATATAACTCGTCACTTCCGTCTGCCCCTGCCTTTTACCACGAGCAACCCCGTGTGTCTTTCTTTTCGCACATCATGGCGGACCGGTTCAATAAGGTGGGTAACTGCTGCGGACTCATAATCTCTTCTTTTGGCTTTTTAGTGGTAGTTAGATGTCGTGTTTTGCAGTTAAACTGCGGGCGAAAACTATAGGACAACTAGGTGTAAATGTTGTTTTATTAGGCGATCATTTAAAGGCTTAATTTTAGAGCTTTTGTTTGAGACCGCTAGCCGTAAGTGAGTGGACATGCCTTCATCATGGCAGCTTCCCTAACAGTCAATGCTGTTAGCCTGCTAGCTTTGACTTGTGTCAAGATTGTGTAAAACTGGGTAAAGCGCAGATGTATAATTTAATAGATAATTGTGCTTTTTTACACTAGTATTATATTATTGTGGTGAACGACGTTAATCGAAGTCTAAATTACAGGTTATGTGTCAATATGCGTTGACGTTAATGCTAAGCTAACGCTGTGTCTTGATCGGCAAGTTATCAGCGTCCATGTGCCAGTTTCTACAAGGCTCATGGAGCAGTCAATGTGTTTCTCTGTTGTAGTGATTGCTTTTAAATGTGCAATCATTTCTATTTCAGGTTTGTAGTGATTATAGTCTATATGAAACGTGGTTAGCAATAGTCAGTTATTGACTGAAATGTGAAACGCCCGTCTGATTTTAGTTAGCTTTCCTATTAACTTGCATAGTAACGTTAACGCCACTTTTATTTTTTTAGTTCAAAGTTGAAATAGAAATATTAATTTCTTTCTCAACCTGCAGGTTCTGCTGCTTGATGGCAGGGGCCATCTACTGGGCCGCCTTGCTGCCCTGGTGGCTAAACAGGTTCTGCTGGGTAAGTTATATTTTACATTTTGAGGAGTAATATGTAGATATTGTTTGTGTTACAGTCACATGAACTATGTATTCACATACTGAACAGCCCATTGAGAAGCCATTGTTGCTTCAGTCTGTCGATGATGATCAACTATCTGCCTTGTTTGAGTTTAACGACCATGATATAACTCACATGCACTACCATCTGAGACGGGATGTAAATGACCATTAACACAACTGGATTTTATTTGGGTGCTCAAACACTAAACTCCATTTGGTTTTTCTTGTAGGACACAAAGTGGTGGTGGTGAGATGCGAAGGCATCAACATCTCCGGCAACTTCTATCGCAACAAGCGTAAGTAAAGTATACGTCTGTTAAATTGTTTGATTAAAATGCTTGTTGTCAATGATGTTTTACTTTTTATTGTTCGAGTTTCAATGACCATGATAACACTTACATGCACTACCATCTGAGACATAAGCATTATATACTGAAGTAATGGTTGCCTGTGGTTAGTTTAAGTATTTGTAACTCAGTTCAAATGTCTATAATGTGCCTCTACAGTGAAGTACCTGGCTTTCCTGCGCAAGAGGATGAACACCAACCCCTCTCGTGGACCTTACCACTTCAGAGCTCCTAGCAGGATCTTCTGGAGGACTGTCAGGGGTGAGAATGTGGCACTACACCAGAAATGGAAACTTCTTCATCAAAACATGAAATTTTTTTAATGTATCCAGAATATCTGTAGGACAATGGACACATTTACTGTGATAGAAATGGATATCTAATTCAAATGAGATTGAGAAATTGGTAGATTGCAATCAAAGTGTTTCAGAATTGAACTTCACTGAGACATGCAGTGTTTATTTCTTCAGTAACAAAGTGGTTTGCATAAATGTGGCAGTGATATTGATCAAGTTAGGGGTCCTTAAATTATGAATCAAGAATTTAGCAAAGATTAAATATCAGATTGTAATGAGTACTGTGAGTCTCAAGCAGGTTTTATTGAAGTTTAGAAGGTGATTTTAAAGTTTGTTTGACCCGGCACAAGTTATCCTTGCTTGACAGTGATGAACACTATCCCGAAACTGATCTTTTGATGAGACAAACTTAACGGATCTGATTGCTGAGTTGAGTAAGGAGTACAACTTGTGCTTGGACAAAAAAAGCCTTTGATGCAGCTCCAATTTTAGTTATTTGGAAATGTATTAAACTTGCATGTATTCTCTCTGCTATCCAGGCATGCTTCCCCACAAAACCAAGAGAGGCCAGGCTGCTCTGGAGAGGCTGAAGGTGTTCGACGGTATCCCCCCACCTTATGACAAGGTGATGAATCTCAACTAACATCCATATTCTGTTTGGCCCTTACGTGTGGCTTAACTCTGCTGTCTGTGATGTCACTTTTTATCGTACCTACCTTGTTTGAATTGCTTTGAAAACAAAAAATATCTGAGACATGCTATCCTATGAATGTTTAGATGTGCCCTTTTCTTCTTTGTCTGATTTTGGCTTTTGTTCCACAGAGGAAGCGCATGGTTGTTCCAGCTGCTCTCAAGATTGTGCGTCTGAAGCCCACTCGCAAGGTGAGACTTAAATATTTGAGATTTGAGGGTCGCAGTGATATTGATTGCAGAGCTTTCTTGGCTGTAAAATGTTCAGACATCAAATACAAATGCTTCAATTTACCTGCCACAACCGTTCTTACTTGACAGTGATGAGCTCTTTATCCCGAAACTGATCATTTATTGATGAGACAAACTTTTCGGATCTGATTGCTGAGTTGAGTCGGGGACAAGTTGTGCCTCAAGTTGAAGCTTTAAACACAAGTTTTTTTATGTTTTAAAGGCAATATTAGACATTAAAAATAAGGTCTTTTGTGTGAAAACTGCTCTAAATTTTAGACCTAATTTTTAGGTTCAGTATGCCAGTGATACACATGCTGACTTTGATTTTTCTCTCCCTCTCAGTTCGCCCTCCTCGGGCGTCTGGCACATGAGGTCGGCTGGAAGTACCAGGCAATCACAGCCACCCTGGAGGAGAAGAGAAAAGAGAAGGCCAAGCTCCGCTACGTCAAGAAAAAGACAGTGAACAAGCTGACCAAGCTGGCAGAAAAGAACGTTGAGGCCAAGATTGCAAAATACACAGACGTTCTGAAACAATATGGAGTCCTTGTCTAAGCTGGTTACCTCTGGCTAATAAAGATAAATAAATGTTTATAGAAAGTGTATCGACTTTTTCATTCCTCATGACTGAAAACAGCACTTATGTTTTAAATAAAGTGAATTATTTTCATTGGTATGTAATGCTGGTAGTTATGTTGAATCTATGAATCGGATCCTAACATAAGGAGTAGAGGCACTTCAATATAAGCAGCTGAAATTCATACACGACCTTGGCCTGGTTTTGAAAATTTGGTTGCAGACTGAACTTACATTTAAGAAACAACACATCTCCTGATGGAGTTATTCAGTATTAGTGCAACATTTATGACAACCACATATATCACAGACATGGCTTTTCTCTTAAAACCCTGCAGCATTTTGGTCACTACTTTTTCTATATTGTCTTGCATGTAATTGGAAAAACTGCATACAACTGTGGGTGTAGTCCAAATGTGAAACTGCTGAGTGGAATCTTATTTCTGCTCTCCTGGCAAACTGAAAATGGTTTATATTGTATGAGCCAGAGGCAGTTCTCCCATGGAAGAATGACTGACTGAAACGTTACGTCATGTGAGGTGGGGACAGAGAAAATGAGTATAAAGCACATAATTGTCTCAGACATGAATTAATGTAATACATGTTCATAAGAAATGAAACTATTATACACATTATGTTGAATTCTAAAGGCTACAAGCTCTTTTCATCCTTTTCTCTTAATATTTCACATCTGTTTCACCATCTGCTGCAGGCAGCTGTACAGAAATGAGAAAAGGATTATGGGAGATGTTTGTAACTGTCTCCTACTGTAGTCATTTAACAGTTGCTGCAGTTTTTGTTTTATTTGACTGATCACAGATGACGAGACATGTTATAAGATTATAATGACACCATTGTGGTATTCATGAATCTAATTATTTGCTGGGTAACTTTAGTAAAATCAGGTGTAGTGTTGACCTGAAATTATAGTTCCTACTGCAGTTGAACCTTTCTACCAGCAGAGAGCAGTGTTATACTTCAGTATAGTAGGAAAAAAAACTGTATTGAGTGTTTGATAACTAAAGAAAACAAGAAAATATAATAATAATACAAGAAGCACTGAGGAGTACTTCCTTTCTGCTGATTTACCCTTATCAAAAAGTGTGTACTTACAAGAAAAAGTCCTGAGAATTATTCTGGACAGTCCCACATAATTAATGTTCAAAGATTCAAGTTGAAGTTAATGGAATACCAGTAAAATAATACAAACCAATCCTGTTGAAGTAAACTGTGTAAGTTTCTCAAGTGTCTGATTACATGTACAATAATATGGTTTAAAAGGATTACCCTCCAGAAAATGCAGTTGATTTGAGCTAATTTTAATTAGTAAGTAATCTCTGTACACGTTATTTCGAAGAACAATTTATTCACAACTCAAAATAATCACAGCAATTTAGCTGCACTTTAGTGTGAGACAGTTGAGTCTCTCCTGGGAAAGAGTGGATGGCCCCTCAGTGCCCTTTTGTCCAGTTTTCTGTACCTCCTCTGCTTAAAATAGGACAGACTGAGGTTATTGCAGACCAAGTCATTCCCTCTTTTTAAACTCAGCCTAGAAAAGGAGTCTTACTTTTGTCATTTGGTGGGTGAGACAAAATAAACTGCTCTTGTCAAAGCCTCTGAGGAACGATACCGAGCATTGGTTGTTCTGTATGGATCCACTTAAATAACACCTGCAATTTCCCCTGTACATGACAGCATTCACTAAACAGATGTTTAAATAATTTAAGTACACCGGTCAGTATATGAAGAGATTCTTCTTTCTCACCTTGTTTTATTTGAAGGATGTCAAATAATTCAGTGTTTCACCAGATATAAGCAAAAAAGCGGGAAAAAGTGGTGACCTTTTTCTCATTTTTGTTGTTTTAGACCTGCCAATGGCAATATTGGTTTATCGGTCAGTCCACAATTTTGGTCGCCAATTTTACCATCATCAGGCCAAATGTGTTTAATACCTGTTAGCGCCTTAGCTGTACTTTTTTTTATTGCTAATTAGCAGATGTTAGCCTGGTAACTCATTAAACTAAGATGGTGAACAGGGTGGACATGATATGTGCTAAACATCAGCATTTTACCTTTGTCATTATGAGCATGTTATCATGAAATTCTGATCTCTAACAATTATTCAAATTAAACAATTTGAGAAGTTTAGAGAGGAAACTCTGTTGTGCAACCTATTGCAAAGGGTCGCAAGTACTACTTAATTTTAAGGGTTTATTGTTGCTTTGTGCTGCTAAATTATTAAACAAAATATAATTCAAAGAACTTAATCTGTTTCTTTTCGTTAAATCCCACTTAAAATCATTTGATTATTGACTTAATCTGCATATCTGCTAAATCTTACAAACCCTTCTCACAGTATGTTGTCCCAATTAGCTCTGAATTCTTTGATAATCTGTATTCTGAGTTCTCCTCCTCTCTTCCCCTTTTCACTCTTTCCTTTTAATCTCATTTAAGCATAATAGAACATGAGTGAAGAAGATTTTTTAAATATATAAATACCAAAAAATGCCTGCTTCAGACCGACCACGTGGCTCCTGTCTATTCGCTGAACTTGGATTCTGATACTGAGACGAATGCTGAAGGGTAACATTCAACAAAAACATCTCCACGAGTCTGCCTCAGCGCTCCCTCCAAGCATCTTGCGATATCTTAAAGAGATTAGTTGCGTGTATGCGGGCATTGTGTTTGTGTCATATGGCATTTTCTAATGTGAGTGACTCCAATGGAGGCGAAACGTGGTGGTGTATGGAGGATTTCCAGTATTACCAAAAGCTGGCAAGCTGGCATACTTTCACTTTCTCTCTGTGTCTCCTATATATATATATATATATATATATATATATATATGCTATAAACACACATGCCCTCCCTACAAGCAGGCCCACCAAGGATCAGGCAGGAGGCCAATCTGACGCCTGTCTACCTGCGTTAAGGAGGGACGTTGTGTCTCCAGCAAACAGACGGAGAAATCACTGTGACGGCTCTCAAAATGAGATTTTTGGATGATGCTGCCTGCAGTAGATCGCTCTCTAATCATACCATCTGAGACCGATTGAAAAGACCATGATTGTCTGAAACTGCTCCTGCAGGCCCAGCCTATTATGGGCACCAACAATTATAGTCATCCTCCTCCTCCTCTTCTGCCTCCTGCGGCTGACTGATGTTTGATGTTCGGTTTCAGAATGGGAGTGCTCATCTGTGTGGGAGCCATAACGCAGAGTCTTGTAAATGGATGAGATTTAAAGTCAAACTGAAATTTAAATTCTCTTCACTTTTTGTGAAACTATAATGATGGTGCAGCTACTGTGCATATTTTCATCCATTTCTCAAAAGGAAAAAAGATATTATAATAGGAACGAGATCTACGCTTCAGGCCTCTGGATGGGCATTGAGAGCCGGCGTGCCAACTTCTGTGGTGTCCCACTGACTGTCTGGGGCATGTCATAACTCTGTGTTGCCTACGAACATTGACCGTTTTTTTTCCTTTTCCCATTACAGCATGTACTGTCAGAAATTTAAGACATCTGTCTTTTTACAGCATTCAGTATTAGATATTATACAGACTGTGCAGTCTTTGATTTACTCATTCATGAGAGTGGAAGCTAGATAGACTAGCTTCTGAAGATTAGCACTGATTCCAGCAGATTTCATTCATTTAAACCCCTGCTGAGTCACTAGCAGCACCCACACAGTGTTTTACCCATAAAAAGGTGTTTAGCTAGCATTTGCGGTCTTTCTTTGATGGGTTCAGTTTTGCTGCCAAAACACCTACAATAAGAGGTAAGAACACTGGCACCATCTATAGGGGCCGCATCGGGGTTTATACCCCCGCAAAGTAAACGATTGGGGTGTTATTCAAATGATCATTCAAAGCAGGGAAAAATGTGGTGGTAAAATTGCCATAGTGTAATAAATTCTAGTGTTCTGTCTCTATGTGAATTCCTCCTGTACGGCCGTAGTGCTCAGGTGAGAGCTTTGCCTAAACTAACTGTTGTATTGGCTGCATTGGTGGAGTGAATAATTTGAAATGATTTTAAAACAGAGGGTCTCCTCACAACATTAGGATTTCTTGCCCCCTCACCCCAAATATTTAACCCTGGTTGGGGCCAATGGGTACCTTTGTAACGACAGCTCCTCATTACTCAGTCATTTGAATCACAACAAAGAGTGCTCAGATCACAGATGGTACCAAACAACGTCTGCCCCAAGTTGGTAACTGCCTGTATGTTCATTGGACCTGAAGTGATATTATGAACCATTTTTAGTGCCTACCATCACAGACATTGATACTGACAGACTTTTTTTGTAACCACTAGTTTGATCAAGTAAGTGCACAACAAAACAAACACCAAAAATGTTAGACTGCTAGCAGTTTTCCCAGTTCTCCCAGCCCTCTGGTCGAGTTTGACTGTGATGTCTAACTTCTTTTTATAGTAACCACACTAACCTTGATTAGACTGGTCTTGCACCGAGTGACACACCTGAAAGATTATACCACAGTCAATCCGATGTCTTACCACAGCGTGCATTCATTACACACAGCGTGTGAGTAATGAGAATGATAAAAAGGCTTTCCTATATGCCAGCATGAGCTGATTAGTTTTTAAGCTTTTATTTGATGTTTCAGTAATGTCTCATTTCTACTGACTCAAGCTTATGCTGTTGAGTCATTAATGAACCAAAGATAGCTTTAAAATCTGATTAGCAAAGAGGAGCAGATCAGAGTGTACAGTTTGAATAACATATCTAATTTAATCCTGATGAAAAGTTCCTAAATTTTGGTGTGTTGGTCTACACAGACATCACAGAAGAGTGGACGCCCTCTTTGAACAGTTCAAGTTTTGACAGTCTCTGCAGATGTCATCCTTGAATGGAAACAAATTTATTGTACGTCTCAAAGGCTGGATCTGAGAAAGTAAAAGAAAAAAGATAAAGAGCGAGAGAAAACAATAGAGTTGGAGTTCGGTCAAACATATAATACCAAAGAGAAAAATCTGAAAAAAAAGACCTGACAGAGAATCAAAGTG